GATTCTTTGTAACATTTTCACACAACAGCTTCAAAAGTGTTGTCCAAAGGTGTAGTGCTGCTGGAGTCATATCCAACACCTGAAATTGGATCCAGGTTCCAGCACTTCAAAAACTAAAAATATGTATGTAAAATATGATTGTCTTTTATAACCAAGCTCTCACAGTGTCGGAGAACACACTAGCTGTGTGTAATCCCTTTTATTTACTAGTAGAGACCTCCTAGACTGCCCAACACACACATTTTATCACACTCTCTCTCAGGACCTGGCATCGAGCAATGTGTAACCAATCTGGTTAAAGAGCATTAAAATGATTGTTCTTTTGTCATATGTCACACAAATATAGTATTAAAACACTTAATAACATGCATTTTATAGTTGTGTTTAAAATGTGTGTTTGTGTGTATATATTTGATTCATTTATATAATGTACAATGAAAACTGCTTTTTTGTTATTATTTGTATTGGCAGGATGTGCAAAGCTGATAATACTGTAGTGCAGTTAAAACTATAGTAAATTAATAAAATAATAATTTAAAACAGTTTTTTAATTTTATTGTTTTTTGTATGGTACCCAGCTGTTTTTTTCCTCACTGCTTAATTTAAAGGAAATTTGTTACTTGTTTTCTCTCAATCATGTATGCGTAGTCAATTTAGTACTAATATAAATAGTCTCAAATAATTGAAATGGAAATTAGATTTTAAATATGAGATATTTACCCTGACATCTGACAAATTTTGGCATAGCTCCGGCACTGTAACATTTATTACTATGTCACTGATATTTTGTGATGTTCTACAATCCAAAGTACCCAGCTTCTAGACTGTTTTCTTGTTTTTTCAGTCTCATTCCTTTCAATGACTATGAGGCTTTGAGTGTAAAAAAACATTGAAAGGGCTCTAAATTGGTTATGTGTAAAAAGCCATTCTCTAAATGACTTAATATGAAAACAAACAAACTTGAATTCTGACAACAGGTGTATTAAAATCAGTAACAAGACTCACCAAAACCATCAAATTACACTAATCTTGATGAACAAATTTTAAAAATCCACTGAAATTGTGAAGTCAAAAATGTTAAACATTTGGCTCTTGTGCGTTTATCAACTTTATACCCTTGTTTATTTTATTGGTAATGGAACTAGAAGATATTCTCAGCTTCATTCGTTGCAATGGCTTTTTACGGGTCTGAGGATTATCTTTTGTAACCATAGCCTTCACTTAGTTGATGAGGTCATTTGGCTTGATTGGTTCGGGTGAGGTTAAGAAGTTCGCTACTGTCCTAAATACTCTGCTTTGTTAGTTTTTCAAGTTTCATTGAGAACACTGAAGGGTCTGTCCTTCAAATCGTAGTCTGTTTTTTGGCTCTGAATCATTTATTTATTTCTTTGTAAAGAGTGGTCACATAGCCCTCCAGCCATCAGTCAATGGAGGGGGTTTTATAATCCCAGTTAGTGCAGTTTGCTTTTAAATGTTGAACAGATAATAATGTCTCACATAACTATAGCTTTAGAATTATCTCAACATTTGCTGGGAATGCTATTTAATTGACATACTTCCCACTAATATGTGAATGTCCATCTTTGTAATATAGCTAATATTTACATATAACCTTTATTTTTTTTCAGGTCAGTGGATATTAAGGAAATTCTAGATCATCTTAGGAATGGATTTCCAGCTATTGTCTTAGTCAATGCCAATGAATTAGCCTGTGATGTTTGTGCATCTTCAAAGGTAGGGTCACTGTTGTTTCATGTTTAAAAAAGTGTACGTTGTTACAATACTCTCTCTCAAAAAATGTTATGAAATTAAAATAACTCGTCTTCAGAGTTGCATACCACTATACTAACCCATTTGCTTAAATAACAGTGAAGAGTTATCAAATAATTCTTGGTTTTATTTTATTTAAGTGTTTTAATAAGTTTCATTTCTAGTCTTTGGGTGTGTGTGTGTTTTCATAATTACGAAGTTTCTTTCGACTGGTCAGCTCAGATACGGTTGATCTGATACTTAGGCAGGTTGGGTGGTCATGCAAGTTTACTATTATGGTTTTGCCTTTTGGTTTTTCATACTTATATTTAGGGTAGCTTTATTTACATTCCATTGATAGATTAGATAGTTAAAATATATATAAAATTAAAATAGAAAATTCTGTTTTTTAACAGTGTTGGAGAGAGTGGCTTACTTGTTGCCAGTTGTTGCCATCCTATCAAGGTGAGGGAAAGCACCATCTATCATCGTTGTGGAAACAACTTGTTGCATTACAAACAATAAGAAATCTTCCCTTCGAAATCTGTGTCCCTTCATAAAATTACGGAAGTTTACTGATTAATTATTTCGTAGACTGCAAGAGAATACTTAAATTTCCAGAATTTCTTATCCCCACTGCAGTTTTAATTATCTGTAGAACAGTAGGTTCAGTAGTCATGAAATTACTGCATTTTTTACAAAGTAAACCCAATTTTATCACAGAGAGGAAGGATTCACTTTATTTTTTTTTAAGCTGAGTTTTTTTTTATAATGAAATGAAGGAGACTAGCTACAGATTAAAATCTGCTTAAAATTATTAGCATTTAACAAAACTTTATCATCTGTAATTATATGAAAGTTCGATAAGACTATTACAAACTGTCCAGCGAATGCCACCAAGGAGTTTAATTCGTGATGGTTTCTCTGAAGATAATTTAAGAGAACCTACATTACAGATGAAATATGAATGCTGATTGTCATGGAAGCACAAGATTAACAGAAAAAGGTATCTAGGCAGATGTTTAAGAAAAACTGAGTTTCATTTAATCTCGTGGAATGAATTGGGCAATTGTTTAATGAAATAAATCAGATGGACATCAATCATTTGGTAGCTGAAACTGAAGGTTTCTAGTATTTATGTACAGCCAACTCTCGATTATCTGGTTGTGTGATTTAACTGTGTCACAGTCTAGGGATCTCACGAGCTGTTATGTTTCAATGTAGCTTTGAAATGATTTTGCTACAGTTCTTATCAATTTTTTTTGCTGTGTGTTTCATTCTTCATTTCATTATTTTATCATCTCTTAGTGCTGCGGGGCCTGGCATGGCCAGGTGGTCAGGGCGCTCTACTCCCAGTCTGCGGGTTCGAATCCCCATCACACCAAACATGCTCGCCCTTTTAGCCGTGGAGCATTATAATGTGACGGGCAATCCCACAATTCGTTGGTAAAAGAGTAGCCCAAAAGTTGGCGGTGGGTGGTGATGACTATCTGCCTTCCCTCTAGTCTTAAACTGCTAAATTAGGGACGACTAGCGTAGATAGCCCTCATGTAGCTTTGCGCGAAATTCAAAAACAAACAAACTTAGTGCTGTGTGCATTGTGTTTCTTGACTATTGAGAATAAATGTAAAGATATAAATTAATTATATTGACAATATAACAAAAAATTACCGAAAAGACCGAACAAGGTTTGACAGCAAAATCCATTGCAGCCGCATTCTGCAATTAAAAAAACAAAATAGAAGACTTTATTATTTTGAATTATATTATGCATAACTTTTTAATATGCATTATGTAAAAATCTGTTTCTCAACCTTTTTTTTTCTTAGAAACACCTACATATATGTAAGGTTTATTTTTATTATTCATTGCATTATTCCTGCCCTTCCATTACCCCAGATAATCAAGAGTCAGCTGTAGTTGGTTATTTTTTATTAAATACTCACTAATCAGGTTTGAAACTATTTTTGTTGGGTAAAAGTACATGAAGTCTGTAGTATGGATTTTCAAAATTATTTTTCAGTGCAATTGAAAGAAAATATGATTGAGCTAAATGCCTCAGTAATTTGTGGCAAAACTTATAGACTTAATATGCCAAAAATATTTTTTATGGGGTGATAGTTATAGTTTCATTAACAAAATAAGGATGAAACTACTGCATATGTGTAAATCCTTTGTGTATTGGTATCATTAATATTCAGGTTAATAACTGAGTTAAAATTGGTTTAAAAATCAAAATCTTTTTTTTTTTTTTCACAGGACATTACATTGTTGTTTGTGGATTTCAACAAAGAGGGTCAAGAATTCTGTACAGAAATCCTGCCAATAGCAACAGTAAGGTTTTAATATACTAGTAAATAACTTCTTAGTTATTGTATATTTGGTTATCTTTACTTCTTATTAAAGTTGTTAAAAAATCTGGCTACATTCAAATTAAAAGAAATTGTTTGGTGTCATCTGATTTTGTTATATTTTAAGTTAAGAGAAGTGGACTTGACTTGTATTTTTTATAATTTTTAGTAATTCTTATTAAAAGGAACTACAGATTCTCAAGGTATAGAAAGCTGTCTTCTTGTTTCCTATTTTGGAAGAATGTCAAGAAATTGTATTTCTGATTTATATATTACCACCTGATGTAACTGTGACATAGAGGGTTCAGATTTGAATGTTTAACCCCCTATGTCACTCCTGGGTACATGCCAGTGTTCGTGGCAATTGGTCCAGTGGTCCACCAGTTATAAGTGGACATAAACATAGATTTTGTTCAAATGATGAGCCCCCCCCAGTATCACAGCAGTATGTCTGCGGACTTACACGGTAGAAACAGGGTTTCGATACCCATGGTGGGCAGAGCACAGATAGCTCATTGTGTAGCTTTGTGCATAAATTCAAACAAAAAAATCAAATGATGATGATGATGATGTTTAAAAAGATATAAGAAACCAGAACTTTCTGTGTAGTTTACCTTAAATAAAATGTCCATTTCCCAAAATTGATTGGATATTTTTTTAACTATGATTTAGAGCAAGTCAATATTAGTGAGTATGCATTGTTTACTGTACCCTTCATAGACATATTAATTGAAATCACTGTGAAAAACCAGTTTAATATTATCAAAAGTACATTTTAAATGAAATTGAGCATATAATTGTTGTTTTTTTAATTATGGTTATTTTTTTGCCAAAAAAGATTATAAAAAACATGATCTAGAATATGGTTGTACAAAACAAATTATATGTTATAATTTTAGTTGTAGTTTGAGGTTCTATTTGTGTAACCATTTAAAGATTTTATCTTTTAAGTTGCATGAATTCCTGTAGCTGTACTTGTGTTAATATAGTTAATAGATAGGAATAAACGTGATGCTGCTTTTGTTAGTTAAATTAATGTGGTTCTAGCAGAGACCCGCAAAACATTTCTGGCCAAATATAACATTTCTAGCACAATACAATTGTAATCGTAGACAATGAAATGTGTAAATCCACTTGTATATAGGCTGTACTTTATAAAACTTTAACTTATGTTAGGCCTAAGTTCGATAAAGAGAGAAATTAACACTGTAACCTTTGTAAGTTTTCTTTTTTTTACTTTAGTTATGACTAAACTTTACTGTACGTAATACTATCGATAAATAAACTTATATTGTTATTCTATGACCTAACGTCAAATCTTTT